ATGTACAACAATCTACATTTATTCAAATACACTCATGTCATCTTCTGGCTGCTTCACAATGTGCACAATAATGGAGGGTGGAGTTTCACTTAAGTGGGGCTTATTTTGGGGGAGGGCTTATATTACAAGCATTCTGAAAATCATACTGAGGCTTATTTTCAGGGTAGGGCTTATTTTTGGAGAAACAGGGTAGCTGGAAGGGACCCTATGGATCATCAATTCCAGCTCTGTCAAGGAGGCACAGTGAGAAATCAAACTCCCAACTTCTGGCTCTGCAACCAGATACTGAAACCACTGAGCTCTCTAGCAGTCCATTGTTGGGGAGACAGCCTGGAAGGAACTTTAGAGAGAGGTGGTGCCCCTTCTGAACAATGCTTTCTTATCTAGCTTATAGTGGGGAGGTGTTCCAGCTTTTCCCAGTCTGGTACCCTCCAGATGATCTGGGCTACAACTTCCATCATTTCAAGTCATCATGTTAAATGACCGTACTGTTCAGTATAACTACAGGACACAATGTTGGAGAAAGCTGATTTAGAAAATACCCAGTTGTAGGAAAGGAGGAACATACAATGGTTTCTCCCTTCGTTGCCTATGTGTGTGTAATGCTTTGTCTTTGCAATTCAAATAGTGAAGCTCAAGTTCCTATTGCATGTTCAAAAGTCTGAAGCAGAGCATATGTTCTTGGATGGCAGTTTCCATTAGCCCTAGTCAGCATAGACAGTGTTGAGGAATGGTGGTAGTTGCAGACCAAGAATATCAGGAAGGCTGTATTTTTCCTACCTTAACTTAAGAGGTTGAGTGGTGGAAGTGAATACATTCTTCCTGTGCTTGTTATGAAGCCTATCTTGTGGGCCATTTCACCACAGTTTCCATTACAGAAATTGCCCTTTGATAGCATAGAGCACCTGTTGAAGCTAAAGGATGCTTCAGAACCTATCACATACTGAGTTACAGCATACTGTTGTGGGATCAGACTAACTTTGTAGTCTCTGTTCCATCTTGCTGTATGGGAAGATGTTCAGAGTAGTGGCTAATATACCTCTTATGCCATATAATGACACACAGTTTTAGGACACGGGCCTAAGGCTTGAGGCTCTACCCCACTCCTGATGGAGTTGTGCTGGCACTGCATTTATTGCAGCATATTGTTCTTCATAATTATTCACCAATAAAGGGGGGGTCAGTTGATATACAAAGAAGATCCTTTATAAGGTGGCACAACTCCAGCACTGTGTACTGGTAGAAACAGCCATCTCTGCTGTGTGTGTACACATGGAGGTGGCGGGGAAGCCATTTCCTCCGGCGCAGCAGGACCACCCGGACAGCCTCCTCGTCTCACTTTCTCAGCCTTTCCCACGTCTCTGCCTGTGTGTATGTGGGGTTATCTCAGCCTTTTCCATGTCTCGCCGGTGCACCCCCC